TTAAGGTCATATGAGGATTTGGTCCTCAGGGGCCACATGGGCTTGGGGGGAGCCCCTGGCTCCTCAGGCTTTTCTTTTACCGGTTCCATCTACATGAAGATAAGTCAAGAGGTCCTGCTTTTCCAGGGCTTCACTTGGAAGCATGGAGGGAATGTTTCCTCTGTGTTTACCCTCCTCTTTGCAGACTGGACATTGCTTCAAGTCCATCTTCTGGGGTCTCCATGGCCTCCATGAACAAGAGGACAGGTGACTCACCAAAGTTACAGGACATTTCTTTGAGAGATGCTCCATAGCCACTGGAACTTGTTTGAGCTTGGAGGGCAAGGAACAAAAAGTTGATTAGTATAGGCCTCGAAGTCTGGCTATCAAATGTCCAAGAAGGTCAGTTACACCAATCTGGTACTTTTAATTACCATGTGTTATGTAGATAGAGCTTGGGCAAAACTCAAACATTTTTAAGTAAACCTTGATGAGACATCCTTAAACTAGTTGACTAAGCTATGACCTTAGAAATTTTAATATCTTTTTTTTCATGCTCGATAAATCGTAACAAACCTACATAGACCTCCATCACTTGCTTAGGCTTTTTTATTTTTAACAAAATATCTCCATTCCTGTATCCTTCTAACATCTTTTATCTTACCATTCTCTTTCTTAATAACCATGAGACATAATAATATTAACAAACTTTTCATCTGTTGTGAGAATTCTTTTTGAGGGATATTAAGCGATGTTTTTCACCTTTTTACATTGTAGTATCAAACCAATGTTTGATTACATTAAAGTTTTTCCAGGGAACCAATAAATTTATTGAGCTTAGTTACAGGATGACTGAGGGGTTGTTGGGGTGTATGAGTGACCTGAGAGTATTTACATCAGAAAGCCTTAACCCAGCATGGATCAAGCCTTTTTTTTCCTAGCCTTTTTTAGATAATATACTTTAGGCCTCCCCAAACCCAGGAGACCATGTATGATTAGGGCCAGATTACATGCAGTTGGTTGGGAAGAGCAGCTGGATACTCAGGTGAGGGTCCAATGACCCTGTTTACCCCTCCTCCTTTAATTAGAAACTTAAGTCCACAAATCCAGTTGTGATAATCTTTGGTTAGTGGACACAGCTGAAGTCATGAAGATGGTAGTTTGATTTAGAAGAACGTAGTGTGTAGCATCATGTTATCAAAAGAACATGGAATCTAAATTATATATATAAAAGATAATGTAATAAAT